ACATTTTCTTTCAAGATTTATATGTGGAAAGAAAACGTAGCCCCCAGAGCACAAGAGCTTTCTCTTTCTGAGAGAGTTGTCATTGACCTCATGCAACCATTGCTGTAGAAAGGATATCATTTGTACACTGACAACTGGTACACAAGCTTGCCACTGTACAAGTACCTTCACCACCAAGGAACTTTAGCTTGTGGAACAATCCGAAGCAACAGGATGGGGTTTCCAGAGTAAGTGAAGAGTGCACAATTGAGAAGAGATGAGCAACCTGTATTGCTGACTACAATAAATACATGGGTGGCATCGACTGCACTGACCAGCTGCTAAAACCCTATGAGGTGCCTCGCAAACACTGAAGTGGTTCAAGAAGGTGGCCATCCACTTTATGCAGCTTTCCATGTTCAACATCTTCATTGTTTATCAGAAGGGTGGTCATCAAAAACAATTCCTGAGATTTCAACATGAAGTGATTGCAGCACTTCTCTTTGAAAATGGAAATGGTGCTGACATGGAGATTCCCAGGGAGGAGAACATCATACGACTTACTGAGCATCACTTTGTGTCACCCATTCCAGTAAAAGCCTCTAAACAAAAGCCTCAGAAGAGATGCCAGAGAGGAGTGCACAAAGAGTGCTAATTTATGCTAATTTTATATTCAGATGACATCATCAGGTATCAAATTTCAAAAATCAATAACCATACAAGCTCAAAATAAAATTTTTAGCGCAGTTTCAGAAAATGTATACTTTTCTTGGGCTAGGTTCTATTGTTAGAGAGTTAATTACATTTGATTTGAGGCAACTTTACCTCAAAAAGAGGAAAATAGGCTTGGCACAGGGGATAACATGGAGGCTGGCAGTGAAGGGGTTAATTAAACACCCTAAACTTCTTGAAAACCCACTGTCAACAAATATACCTTGCACATAGTTAACAATTGCCTCATGGGAAATGACTCTGAAAAATAAGAATTGCTCCATTCAGATACCCTGATGATCCCAAGTATCATAGTCACAGTTAAAAATATTGAGTTTCAAAAGCACAGGGTTTTCAATTTGAGTGAGGTAGTCTGTTTCCTCCAGAGTGAATTGCTCATAATTTTATCAGTAAATCTATGTATTTTGATGCTAGTGAATCACCTGTTGATGTAAAAAAACCTCAAGTTCAGCTTTCTTTCAGAAACTTGAGTATACTTTTTATTAGAAAATGTGAAAACTATTAAGAATCCTTCAAACTAATACACATTTACATAATTGTATGCATAACAGCAGCCTAAGTGTTGATTTAGTTTGAAGTGTGAAGTCCATTTACAGATTCTTTTCAGTTTATTCAATTTCAATTTTGCTATCTTAATAATAGAATTTTGCTTAACACAGCAAATCGTGCAGGTTTTACATTACAGAATTTAGGACAGGATGTTGATAGTGATCAGCCTTCATACAACCTGCCCTTATCTTTTACCTACACATTAATTCAAGTACCATTTTAGGTGACTTATGCTGCTTTGCTTTGGAATGCTGAATTGTTGCAGGTAAACACAGAAAAGACTAGCTTACATTGCTACAAACAAACACCCACTGGTATCACAAAATTATTCTCTAAACACAGAACAAACTACAATCCGAGGGACAACCTTAAGTTTGAACTTTTTCACTCTAATTCTAAAGTACTTCATAATTCTTTTGTTCACCATGCTAGCATTGTTTAGAACTATCTATCAACCCAGTTGAAATCAGTGGCAAGCTGTCCATCTTTCAAAGCAAACCTAATCAAAGACTGTTGACCAAATTTCATTTGGTACCAATTCAACTTCAACCAACAGTGACCAACAACACAAATGCTTTTATATATTTTTGATATTAGTATAAAATAATAATGTTTGAAATTTCTTTCTCTTATTTTTCATCATCATTATTGTTATACTATCTTAAAATTTTCATGTGGATATTGATAACTGGTTATTAATATAAATCTAGACTACAATGTGAGCATTCAAAGAGAGTGGAGACTGGCTTCTAGTTTATTCAAGCTTAAGCAATACTGTACAGTCATATGAATATGACTTTCTCATATGCTGATAGTCATAAGACTTTAAGAACCATTCAGTTACCGTTGGGGTACTTAGGTATTACTGACTACTTTTCCTGGACTGTTTGATAGGCATTGCTACAGCGTTCCAAGCAGTTAATATATAGCATCTATAGGGAATTATTTGCCCACCCACCCACTTCCTGAACAGCCTAGTGTTTTAGTTTTTTGTCTTTTATTTTTTGGTGTCATTGTGGTGAGTTTACCTAGTTGATTTCTATTGTATTTTAAAGGATTTTAATTGTATAAGTCAATAAAGGTTATATGTTTGTCAGTAACACTTTGCAATAAAGACTGCCAGAAGCCCAATCCTGTGTCTGCGTTGTGGTTTAGATTTACTTTTTACATATTTTTTTTTACTTTTATGCTGTTATATAGCAGGTCCACATCAGCATTTTGCTGCTATTTTACAACCTGCTTTATCAAGTAAAGTATGTATGTATGTAACACAGAAAACAGATAACATGTTCATGTTGAAGCTGTACTAGCAAACTGAAGTAGGGTAATTACCTTATTGTAAAACTATCACTCAAACTGTTGGGCTTCAAGGGGTTGGCCTCTACCTCTCCAGTGGTGGTTATTTGCTGCTCTGAGAGAGCTTTGGATCCATTGGGATTGTCACTGCGCTTGTCTTGGTCTGGTGCCCTCTAACTTTTCCTGCCTACCAGACATACACGTGACCTTAACCAAACAGGTTTTGACATGGTTAACGTCCCACTTAGAGCCAACAGTTACGAGGGGTGAGGTGACTTTCTCGTTATGAAGTTTAACAAGTTCGATGCCACCTGGTAACATTTTGCCAGTAATTTCAATCACTATTGAGCCACGAAAAGGTTGTTCGTCGCCGTCTGATAGGAAACCGACTCCAGCAAAACAGATTATCTGATCATGGGCCACGGGTATTCTTTGAAGACAGAGCCTTTTCCAGGAGGACAACCGTTTTACAAACTGCTTTTGGGAGAGTATTTCTAAAAGACGAAGGCCCTGCCAGTAAATGTATTTGGGGAAAGCAGAATGTGGTGTTGATCGGCATAATCTAGTTCGGAATGAAGGCGAATCATTTCGGCTGAATGAGGGGCAGTTGTACCGCATCATGTCTATCGCACGGTCAACTACCTGACCAACTTGTGAGTTCCGTCGTTGGCTCGTGCTCCCTACAGTGGCTGTAAAATGAATCGATCATCGCTAAACTAAGTATGAAGACAACATGCGCTACATATTTACAAGCTATCTATGTACAGTCAAATCCAATTTCAGTTACCCAAGCCTTGTTGGTTCCCCGGAACCACTCAACTGCAGATACTCATCAAATGCTAACCTCTCCTGGGAACGAATTAAAGAGCGGTTTAGATCCCTTTCACTCTGTTCAAGGTTTCCGAAGGTATTCGAGGCCATACACTGCAACAGCAGAAAACATCTCGACTGCTATTGGCGCGAATCCGTGGGAATATAAGTTCTCTAGCTAAGCGACCAGGCCTTAGTCCACGTGATCTACTAAATTTTTGATCGTGTGAGAACTGGAAACAGCTCGAGCTGATCGCACGATCGTCCGGTGACGGTGGCCTACGGTGGCCCACGGTGGCCCAGAAGGGTCACGCGTGCAAATTAAAATTATGACCGCGAACAAAAATATTGCTGCAAATGAAAATATAGAACAGTACGATGGCCCATAACCTGCAGTGGCCCACAACTGTCACGGCAAAACAAAAAATCACGGCACTATAAACTTTACTCACGGCAAAACAAAATTAACTCACGGCGAAACAAAATTAACTCACGGCAAAACAAAATTTACTCACAGCAAAACAAAGAAAACGAATTGGTCAGCGGTTGTTATTTGCGAAATAACGAAGATGCAAACTTTTGTAAAAGCTGTGGTAGAGGTACGTTTCTTAATTTAAAGTGTTCGTATTTGCATTTCAGTCAGTCGCCGGCACCTTTTGTTGCTTCACACGGAAAAAACACACGATACGAAATGTAATGATCGATTTTGTCCCCAATCTCACGCCATAACTGAAAAAGCCTTTGAACCCCTGTAAACTCTGAGCGCTTCGGAGTACGTGATAATTTTAATGAATCTTCGGATTGTTTTCAAGTTCAAGGATTGTAAATTACAATTTTACGAAAATCGAAGGTTGTTCTCTTATTTCATTGTGAATCCTCGCACGCCTGCCAGTCGCTGGCGCCGCTAGTTGAAACTAAAACGAATAAATATAAACTGTTTTAAGATTATCATTGGTTTCTTGTTCACCCTACTACTATTCTTAGCGACAAAGGTCGCCATTTCGTTTGTTTACTGTTACACGACGTGCCATTTGAAATGCAAATAACAACCGCTGACCAACCGCTGACCAAATCGTTTTCTTTGTTTTGCCGCGAGTAAATTTTGTTTTGCCGTGAGTTAATTTTATATTGCCGTGAGTTACTTTGTATTGCCATGAGCTAATTTTGTTTTGCCGTGAGTAAAGTTTGTAGTGCCGTGACAGTTGTGGGCCACCGTACATTTTGTTTTGCCGCGAGTTAATTTTGTTTTGTCGTGAGTAAAGTTTGTGGTGCTGTGACCTTTTTGTTTCGCCGTGACAGATATGGGCCACCGTACGATCGTCATTTCAAGTTTTTAAACTACTGTAGGAAATAATAAAATACAACTTTGTATAATGGACTGTAGGATTTCTTGCAACTTTACCCCTGGGCTTTCAATGCGCTAGGGAGAGGTCGACAGAAAAGGAATCACCGGGGAAAGTATGCGAAAAGGTGACATCGCGACAGGTTTGAAAGCCCATTCGCGCTCAGATATTGATCTAGGCGTCATTTGCAGACGTAATGTTTGGGAGTAGCAAAAAGATCTCTCGAGTGACATTCGTCGCGTTTCCTTCGGTGATTGTCTTTGAAACTTGGTTCAGTCCTAACCACATAAGTTCAAATCGAATACCTTTATTAATCAAAATGTTTGAGCTAATTGGAAATAATCAGAAAACTGAAAAATTACAGAATGTTGGCAAAACTGTCTGAACTACCTGACTTTTTGGACAAGGAACATGTTGCAAGAGAAAATTCGCCAAGTGGAATCACATGAAATCGAGGTTTGTTGAGTAAATTTATCCCTTCTGGCGCGTGGTACGTCAGCTGATAGGGTCCCTAACTAAGAGATAAGAATAATTGGCTGAGAAACAAAGCTTTGAGGGCAAATGCGAGAATTTGAGAAAATCTCTGAGTCAAGGGCTTTATCAGCTGACACAGCAGCAAGCCAGAAGGGGCTCTATTGAATTATAACCCTCCTCTCAAATTTTAAAACTCTCCTTGACAGCAAATTTTGTTGACTTTTTGGAACTTTCTGGAGAAGCATTTGAGATCATCTTTTTAATGTCACTATCACTAGACCAAAAAAATGAGTTTGTCCTTCTTCCATGTAATAAAGATGAAAAGGTGAAATGCTTGGGGTTCCTTTTGCTTCTTTTCCAACAGAAATAACCTGAGGGCAAATATTGATGTAGACAGTGGTTATTGCTTGCTAACTGTCTGGTCACTTTGCATGTGATATAAAGTGGCCAATTTAATTGCATGAAAATTAATGGGCGAGTGGTTGGTGATTGGGCTTGCCATTGGGCACTCTGTAAGAAGACATAAAGAACACCACTCATGCTGTTTCTTTCTTTTTGAATATAATTAATAATTAATTAATATATTTTTCCCAAAGCTTAAATGGGTAAATGTAAATGATATTCATCAGTGAAAATTCTCTGTCAGAGATGGACATTGTGCCAGGACCCAAGCTACTCCATTTTCACTTTTCAATGTCTCCTACCCAGACATTTGTTGGCTAGGTTTTTACACTGGTTTAATTCGTAATCTTCTTAGTTGAATTCTGTTGAAGAAAAATAGTACAAAAATTGCAGGTAATACTGGATGAATTTAATTTCTGAACTACCGTAAACGTCCATGTATAAGCTGCATCCATAGACAAGCCACACCTCCGATTTGGAGTGCAGAATTTGGAAAAAAATAAAAAAAATACAGTTTGAAGTTTCAGTAGAGTTGTATTGCTACAAATAATCAAGGTTTCGAAACACCGACATAGAAGTTGTGGCTATCTTTCACATTTATCAAGTCTAAAGAAAGCAAAATTTCATTTGCCGTACCTTCTTTTTCATTGGAATTTACACCATCTTTAACTTAAAATGCTCTTTCGATCCGATTTTTCAAGATTATCACTTCGAAACATGCCATAAAGTTGAAATTCCTTCAGCATCGAGAAACTATAAACAAACAAGTGCTTAGTAGCCAAGCTTTAAATGTTGGGAGGAGTCTGGGCCAGGACCTGGCCATCGTCTGGGCATGAACAGAAAGCACGCACACTGATGCAATCATTTCAGTTTCTAATTCATAAATTAATATTATAATACTTCAGGTTATTTATAAAAGATGCTACTGTTCTTCATGTGAACATCTGATAAAGTCAGTGTTTATCATTAAAAGCCATAAAAGTCCTCACGACCGCTATCTCCAAAGAGATTCTTATAGCTTTCTGGGTCAATTTCTTGCTTGTTACTGTTCGAAACTATTGGTGTAAAGCAAGTCCACATCCTCGTCCTCATCTATGCCAGCAAATGGATCAGAATTGGAGTCATCTTCCCACATTAATTGTTTGAGTAAAGCGAAAATTAATCGCTTGAAAGAATCTTGGAGAGCAAGATTCGATGATAAACACTCAAAAACACAAACAGCTCCCTTAGGAGCCACCACTTAATGAAAAAGTCAATGAACTACAGCAACACGCTTTCAGTTTCTTTTATGTTTATTTCTTGGCATCTTAAGAAGTTTTATGAATATTAATTAGGTGTTTGAGAACTCCAAACACAGATGTATTCATGGATAAGCCGCACCCTTGATTTTTGGCTTCAATTTTGTGAAAAAAAGTGCAGCTTATACATGGATGTTTATGATATGTACCAATTTAGGTCATGGTGATAAGTCAGTGTGGTGTTGAAATAATGAATTAGACATATCATCACACAATATGTAATAAATATAAAAATTCACTGCATTGTTAAGTAATAGGAATAAATAGCTATCATTTCATACCTCTCAGAGTTGTCTGCACTCTATTGCTGTTTCTAGTGTAGCATTCATATTTTAAACACAACATACTCTGCTTCCCCCTTGTTGCTGCATCAGTGCAATGCAGATAATTAAGTACAGCACCACGAGATACACTGGTTGAGAGAAAAAAAACAGACATTAAAATAATACAAACAAACCAAACAAAATTTTAAGATGGGAAAAAAGATAAGGCTACAGTAAATGTTGATTATAAACTAAGTTTACCTTCAAGAGGGTGAAATGAACTACAAAACCTACGTATAACTGAGTGGCTTGGGAAACAAGGGATAGAGTCTGCTGAAGCTAGAAGTTATGGGGACAGGTTTCCTTACCACAGACAAAAAAAAGCCAAGCCCCATCCAAAACTGTTTGGCTATAGCAGGCAGAAGGTAAGGGGTTTGGAAATCACATTTGAAGTTGGCACTCAGAAAAAGTTTTCATTTTGGAAGAGCACTATAAGGATTGCCATCACAAGCAAGCAGTGTGCCCCACAAAAAAATACTTCATGGGACTGGCTTGACTGTGGAGTAAAATATTACAATGGATCTTCTGCAAACCATCAGGATGATGTGCCATGGTGGTGTGAAATGTGCATCAAGAAATGATTGGATCCTCTAAAAGCTAACTATTACATATCAATTCACAGCTACCAAGACCGATACAACCTCAAAAAAATACTTTTTACATGTTATTCAACTCACGAATTTCAGAAGCCTTTTCACACAATCATTCATTCAAATAAGGTCATAAGTTTTAAATAAACTCTTTCGACTTGTAAATGTTTTATAACACACCTTTCAAATAAATTTTTTAATAAGACCTTATTTCTTATACCTGTCAATCATGAATATTTTCTACAATTTGCACAATTTACAATTTACTGGTTTAGGGGAGCTTTATATTCTACTGAAATACAAGTGCAATGTATCATGCTGTATGTATTCAGCTTCAAGTAGCACTCCAATTTTATATTACAACCCAAGCCCTAAGGAATTATCATTGTCCAATGTACTGAACTTCATTCTTTTCCAACTTAATATTTATTTTCCAAAGGGTGCTAGCTTGAGAGGAGAACTGAATATTGTTGGTAGGCAGGGCACACAACAGAGTGACAGATATGTAAACATACAAAGTTGATTACAGGAACAAGTGATAAACTTGCTGTTGCAGTTTACCATTAGAAAGTGGCAAGCCAAATCAAAAGAAAAAAAGGTTGATGGTAAATTTTGCTAAAATCATTTATCCTAACAAAGGGTGTTTCTCCTTGTTACCAACTGGACACTTAGTAAAAAATTGTGAGTTAGTTGTATGATGTGCATCGGGTACTAAAATGAAATAGTACTATATTGTGATATATTTTTTTGTATATCCTGTACTACTGAAAGTACGTAGTGATCAGGTTAATTAATATTTCTGTGAGTATTGTACTTTAGTTTGTGGTGTTATGTGAACACATTTTTGATAAGATATAGTGCTGTAATTGTACTTTCAGTTAGGAAAAGGAAACACATCACTCAAACATCCATAAACACTTAGATTTTGAAAACAAGGGTAAACAATTTAGCGTTCTGGAACTTATATTTTACACCTTTTGAAGTTCCAACTCTTCAAGACATTGTGTCACTCTATTTTGGTTTTGGAAAGAGATCTAACACATTTCATTGTTACCTAATACAAGAAAATAGTCTGCTCAACAGTATAATTGTGAGTGAAAGAAGAACTTAAAATCACCATACTTTACAGTTTTCAACAATGATTGTGGTTCATGTTTAACTTTTACAATATTCCTCAGATTTTTTGCAGGGCCTCCAGAATGTTAATCTTAGTCCAAATAGAATGCAAAAACCAGTTATTCTTCTACCCTCCTATGTTGGCAGTGGTCAATAGTCACCTTTGTGCTACCTTTGTTTAATACCTGACATATTCCACCCATAATGGAAGTGATCACACATAGTGAATATAGTTTCTTGTGTAGAAGTACAAACATGGTATTGCAACCAAATTCTGGGCTTGATTGGTCACCATTTTCTCTATATTAAAGTGCTATCCTCAACAAGCAACACTAACCCAACCCAAAAGTACCAGAAAGAAACAAGCTGGACATAAATGGATTAAAAGCAGCAAGTCGTTAAATAACATAAAATTGGCAAAATTATTTAGCCAGAGATGGAAACAAAAAATACACAGATGTAAGTGGGGCATTTGGTAGAAAATTTCTCATTGTTACCTCCTGTAACTCGTTTGTAGAAGTTTGATTTTTTTCCAGAAAATATCCCATGAAAAGCTAACCTAGAGAAAGGTTAACCATGACTGTAACACAAAAGTAGATAAATAAAAAACAAATAAAAACAAGCTCCTCAAGTCTTTTGCAAAAAAAAAAAACTAACAACTCCTGAATAGCACTTAGACCTTTATTCTTAACCTAACCAACTTTAATAACAGCCAAGGGTTTGGGTATACATGTAAACTAATCTAAAAATGTAAGTTTGTAATAAAATTCTACTCCTAATAAAATACTGCAACTGGTCGAGTCCTGTCTACACGAAGAGGTCTGTGATTAGGAGGAAGCCTACACTGCATCTTAAGTGGTAGATTGACTGCGACAGCAATTCTTCAGGGAATCCTTGGTAGCCTAGGTCCTGGCTGACTTAATGTAACTTATGTCTGGCTATGTTGACTTAAGACTTCAAATGCAACGAAACCTAGGTATCAAAACAGAATAAGCTTAGACTCACTGGAACAACAACGGTTAGCCCAATTATCAATATCTGAAGTTTTATGCTTTTTTTCCCCGTGACTGCGTGATAAAAGGACACGCAAGGCAAGGTGTCACCTTTTTAATAAATAAACTTAAGCAAGAAGAGGACCTGTAGAATTCCCTTCCAATGCTCCTGCGTTATGGGCACATGAATACTTTTAACAGTACTTTTAAACGATTTTTTCATCCCACTCGTGCACACTCGTAGGCAGTTAACATTATTTCTGCTAATAAAACATACCCCCGTGTGCTATTCACTGTTAGCTTTCAGAAAATATCCTATTCATTCACCTAAAGATGTCATAAAATAAACCACAAGCATGGGAAAATTAGAAAAAAAGTGTTCCTACCTTTTCTAGTATGGTGTGTACCGTTGTCTTGGACCGCCACCCCTTCCATATCCACCGTGCTGTGAGCCAAAGTTTGAAGGAGCTTGCTGGTAGTTACCCATGTTACCGTAACCATTGTCGTATCCATAACCATCATAGCCGCTGTAATAACTAGGATCAGAGTATTGCTGGTATCCATGACCGCCATACATATTGTATGTGTACTGTCCACCTCCACCACCACTGCGATCACGATGGCTAAATCCACGACCCCCTCCGCGTCCACCACGACCCCCCGAACGTGCCCCCTGACCATCTTTAGGTTGAGCTTTCTTGATTTCAACTTGTTTGCCGGAGATTGTGATCCTTTTGAGGCAACAAAGTTCATCCACTATATCCTCGTCTTCAAATTCAACGAAGCAGAAACCACGATGCTTTTTCGGCTCGTCTTTCTTCATGATCAGGTCCACAAGGGTTGGCGCAATTCCGCGTGCTGACTCGGCGACGGCTTGCTTTATGTCTTCCATGGTCGTCTCGTCTTTCAATCCACCAATAAAGAGTTTCTTTGTTCTATGATGAGCTGTTGCGCTGTCTTCATTTCTAGGAATAGCTCGCTTTACTTCGACGGTTTTGCCATCGATCGTATGGGGTTTTTCTCCTAAGACCTTTAAGACGCTTTCTCTTTCGGCGAAAGTCACGTAGCCGAATCCTCTAGAAGCCTTGCCTCCATCGCGTATTACCACGCAGTCTGTCATTTCTCCGTAAGACTCAAAATACGTCTTTAAAGCTTCATCTGATGTGGACCTGTCCAAACCACCAACAAACACCTTCTTCAATGGATCTTCGTTGGCCTGATCATTCGCCATGTTTTCGTTTCCCTTTTCGAAAGAGCTAATGTCTTGTTATAGGAGCTAATACAGGAAATAGTATATCGATACTCTCAAAAGAAGTAAGTTGTGTGAGAGAGATGCGGAAGGGAGAGACACGCTTCTTCTTCAAGAGTAGCACGTGTTCACATGGCTCTCTTTTTGATTGGCTGATTAATAAACTTAAGAATGGCTTTGATTGGATACTTGAATGAACTTGAGTGGCATTTTATTATCGAAATATTCGCGGGCTCAAATTCAAAATGGCGTTCAAGCAGAGGTGATTTCGGAATCTCTTCTAAGTTTGTTTCATTTCCAAAAAATCATGTTGATTAAATGAGCGACATTTATTTTTGTCACATTTAAGGTTGTCTGAGTTCAAGTCCGCTCTCGCTGCGAAAGAGATTGATCTTAAACATCTCCGAAGACTTTGCTTTAGCGGTGTGTTGTGAATAATTCCTATTTATCATGATGAGTGTTGTGGTCACATCACATTATCTGTAACTTATCCTGATTAGATGTGTCAATCTCCTATCTCTATTTTGCAGGAATTCCTGATGGATCTGGAATTCGATCAGTGTGTTGGAAGGTGAGCAGTGAAGTTTGATGATGGACTCACGCGAAATTTGCGTGGCTTCGATCAACTCATCAGCTATTCTAACAATTTGTGGATTACCTTGGAAACCTTTGGCAGTACAAATTATTCATATTCTCAACCATCAGCTTTTCGATGGCCTTATTGCATTAGGGTTAGGGTTAGGGTTAGATAACGTTTTTATAGGGAGACTACTCTTAATTTATTTCCTTCTTTTTATTGGTCTGTATATTACGAGTTACTGAACTTGGACATGAAATTGAAAAGTGGAGAAGAGGAACCCAAGAAGCATGCCATAAGGAAGATGGATACTGGGAGTTCAACTTTGAAGAACTCATAGCTTGCAATGCACTTTCCTTTGTTACAGTTGAACCTACTTGAAGCTACAATAAGTGGCACCATATTAAGTAGTCATCCTGTTTTAAGGGGCAGTTGTCTAAGTCCCAAGATTGATTCACCTTTAAGTACTTTAACTTTCACCTCTGATGAGAGTGTCACCTCTTAAAGGTGAAACCATGCACATTTTAACTCTATTTTCAACAAACAGACCACAATTCTTTCAAATGCTTCATGTGCGATAAGACTTGACAATGTTCCATTTCTTTGAGATGTTATAATTGCAATGTAATAATAAGATGTGAGATGGATATTTAGAAGCTACATTCTAAGGTGATGTAAAAATTTCAAAGGAATTCTTTTGAATTCTATCGTTCTTCTTCTCAACTAAGTGAAAAAAGTCAGTATTTGTGAATATATAACATACAAAAAGGACAGTACAAGTTATTGACCAACTCCAGTTATGCTGTTGTTGGATATTTTCAGCACACAGCACAGAACATTTCAATGCAGGGAAGTCCTTTTTCCATGGCAGCAAGAATTTCTGAGTTCGACCTTCATATCTTTTTACTTTTTCACTGCTGTTTTTGTATCTTTGGGGGTTCAGATTCTCTTTTACTGCTGACATTTGGTAGGTCAAGTAAACTTGCTAACATTGAGTACACTGACAGTGAAATGAGTACACTGACAGTGAAATGAAGCATGTGAACTGAGTTTATTTCATGCAGTTGTTAGGTGATTCACATGGAAGTGTGATCACAAGTGTCACTCTCCAGTGCTCTTAAGCTACATAGTAATTATGTTTGTGTTTGACTTTAATTTAAAGCAAAAAGAAACAGAGAATTGTGGAAAACCAGTTTAGTTTACAACATCAAGAGATGCCTGGGCAACCCGGAACTCAGTTGAAAAAATTGTCCCCTAAATTGTTATTTTCCAGTGGGACAAGTACTTTTGATGTTCCATTCTTCCAAGATCAAAGCATAGATAGCTGGGACAGGCTGATGATTGGAGATTTTTTTCCCCTGTGCCATGTTGAAATTTTACTATTAGAATTTTACAGCACCTTAGAATTTTTTTGGCCTGACAACTAATTGTGAAATATGCTTATCAAGTGCTTTAGTAAATGAATTGAAATTTCAATGTTTTGTTTTACCATTGAAGCTCCTTTTAGGTTACCTTCCTCCAGAAAAGGATCTCTGGCCTGAGACACTCAAAAGACAGAGGTTAGCTGGCTATTTTGTTACCAATAGTATTATAAATGAAATCTCTATAGACAGGAATGTAGCATAAAGTACTTTTTCTTAGATTGAGATATGTCAAGTCCTTGTCAGACTATCTGCTTACATGTTTGTTATACAGCTGGGTCAGGTTGTTGGAAAGGGGGCTACTGGTAATCTAGGATTTAAAGTTAAACTTGGCTCTAATTTCTCATGTAGAAGAGCATGTTCAAGAGCTACATCTAAGATTTTGTTGAGGTTTATCTCAATATGACATTAGAAACTAACAGAAAAAGATTATAAAAGAAAAATGCCCTTGCAAAGCTTTTAAACTAAATAAATTTACACTAACCCTGGGTCAGGTTAATCATGTTTTTCGAATAACCTGGCCCAAATCCTTTAGCTCATTCTGATAAACAATTTTATTTTCAGATCCACTTACAAACAGTTTGTTGAAGAAATTATCATTGAACAATGTAAAGGAACTAAGTCTGGAAAAGATTCCAAGGAATTTGATGTTGATCATGTAAGAGACCTAGCTGAAAATTTTATTCTTTAAGCAATACAATCCTTTTTTTATACCATACTATCCCTGTAAAGGAGAAGCCTTTTATAAAACTCTTCCCCTCCCACACCCCTCAAAAAACATGATGATGATGAAAAACATAATGATCATGATTAGGAAAGGGACGTGTATGCAACAGTTTTTTTAATTGTGTTCCTCTCCCTAAGCATATTTAAATCACTCATGCATATGAACTAGAGCTCTGTAGTTCAGTGAATTTTTTTAGTTGTTTTTCCTTCTGGTTTGACATTGTGTATGTCTCTTTTGTTGCTAATGAGCATAATAATGATAATGGTGTTTATGCTGCCACATTTGATGAAACATGAAAATTTTAATCTTATTATCTTGAAAACTCACTGATCAGTGTGTTCAAGTTCTGTGTAAAATTCATGAAAATTAATTGGGGTTTTTTTTTCATTTGATCACTTGCTTTATCAATAATATCTGTCCAGAGTGGATCTGAACATGATACATATTTTTTGCTAAGTTCCAAGATCTAAGTCCCCACAGTCAGAACAGTGCTGTTCCACAGTCATCCAGACAGTCAGTCACACAGACACAGGTTTCCCAGAAATATCAAATGGCTGGGAAAACCGATCACTGACTCTTTTTTGTGATATATACTCAGGAGGAACTCTTGAAAAAGTTTTCAAAATGGAGACTTATCCATGTTTTGAAAAAATTCACCAGCAGTTTTAAAATGAGACATTTTTAAGAGACTTGCATGGTTGCTATGTTTCTTGTTACCAGTCTCACACATAGTACATACACAGAACTGATCACCTTATGTGGTTGAGAAAAACTTCTTGTCTGATTTGTTGATCATTCAATGTGCAATTCAAGATGTTTGCACACCAGCTGACTGACTTACACTATTCACTTCATTTGTTAATAATGGAAACAGGACTTTGTGCCATCTAATTCTGTGTTAAGTTCTACAAGTGATTAACAAAATCAGGAAACCACAAAGTGGGAGTCCAATTTGTCAATCATGAGTATGATAACAGACAGAATTGGACGAGACATAGTCCTGTGACCAACTAATCATAACCATTACAATTTCTGAAAAAAAAACCTTTGAACAAATTTCTCCAGGGGAAACAATGTCTAAATTTAAAAGTTCCTCCATTTTGGAAATTCCCCAGTTTTTCTGAAGATAAGTGGTTGTTGCTTTGGTTATTGTGATCAGTTCTGTGATTGGCAGATTTAGCCGAGTGGCCTAAGTTGGCTGCTTCAACTGTCCGATTACAGCCAACTTTACAATTACACTGTCCGATTACAACTCTACAAATTAATTAGTGAAAAATTAAGGGGTTAGTGCACCATTCACATTTGTGGAAATTGTAATGGTTATGATTGAGGATGTTTTTGTTTTAATTTGTAGCCTTTGAATCCAAATCCTGACAGTCAGTGGCTTGCCTTTTTTAAAGACAATGAAGTGCTATTGCAAATTGATAAGGATTGCAGGTATTTTAAAAATTTTTTCAAGCATTAATTGATCAGAAAAAAAACAAGGTCTTGATTAACTGGTAAAGAAATTCTAGCTCAAATTATCTGCAATTGGCTGGTGTGCTATAAATTTGGAGAATATAGTATATATATTAATCATTTTAATTGGAACAGAAACTTCTATCAAAGTAGAGGGTAATGTTAAACCAGTCTGGTCCAGAAGGTATGAATTAGTTCATCCTGAATCTCATATGGCATTTATCACTTTATAAAGGTATTAGGTGAACTTTGTTGAGCTCTGCTGCAAATATGTGTCTCCTTTTGTCGAGGTAGGCATGACTATAATAAATTGATATGAGGTAAGGAAGGGGCAATCAAAAGTGCTGCAAATGAACCAGTTCATGAAGTGGAGTTCTGTTGCTGAGATTAGTTCAAATAAGTTAATGATTTATTTTATTTTTCCTAGATTTCAGAACATTCAACAATCCTAATATCTAACTGATAATATTAGTGACTCATCAATGTCTAAAATGTTTGTGAAACATTAATTGGTTATCATTTATAAACCATCCATTGATTACTGAATGATTACAGTCATGTTACTAGTATGTCTCGTTAGAGATACAATTGGTGAAAATACAAGGGAAAAACATCTTAGAGCTAAACTGTAACAATGCTCTGAGTATTGTCAGCCAAAGGGCAAATTGACTGTTTTAATAACAATATGCAATACTCACAGCATTGATTTAAAAGTTCTCAGTTGACAGATTTTTTTTCCTAGGAAAGTAAGTATAGGGATGGAGTTTGTGAGTTGCATTTAAACCAGCTATGGTGATAGGGACACTGGTTTGTTTACTCTTTGAGTGATCCCTTTATTTTTTTTTTCATCACTGTTGTTACAGAAGGCTGTGTCCAGATATTTCCTTTTTTCAAATAGCAACAAAGTATCCTAACAAGAAAGTCACAACTGGTAAGAGAGAGCCTTTTTTAACTTTAAAGGGTTTAATCCAGCATATTTCTAAAAACATGGGCAAAGAAACAAAGAAACAATCAAACATAAGGCAATAAGAGGAAGGCTGTCAGCACAAAGCAAACAAAAAATGATTGAGTAATTTTAGAGAAGTCCTTGATATCTATAGAAGAGTACTTTCTAGGTCAAATGTTGAATTCTGGTTTTCAAAATTGATTGGTCAGTTCTGCTGTGATGTCAGAAGGACTGAAACCTCCAGGTGTAAGCTATTGACAGTCATGAAATAAGGAGATCCTCGCAGCTAAGAACACTACTGAAACGAGTAGTTGTAAATAGGACCTGAAAAAAATTTCAGGCCCGTACGGGATTTGAACCCATGACCTCTGCGATACCGGTGCAGCGCTCTACCAATTGAGCTAACAAGCCAACTGGGAGCTGGTCAATAAATTGGGTCCAAATAAACATCCAAGTGAATGAAGATTTTAGATATATGAAAATTCACATATTTGACAGTCAGTTGAAGAAAACAAAGAAATACATGAAAAAAAAATGTTTTAATACAACATTGACTGAAATATAATCTATACAGACTATTGCTAGAATTTAGTTTTGAATTTATTTGTGCACTTCCAGAATTAATTAATTGCTTTCTACACAATGATATAGGTTGGGACATTTCAGTCGCTTTAAATTTGCTTTTATTTGTAAAAGATACTATTTGATCAACAATATATAATATCCTGATAAATTAGGAGAAGACAGAGATTTTGAAACCCTGAGGGAGCGTGTCTTGAGGACCCATCTAGAGGCATCTCATGTTAATACCAACAGAAGTGGACTCAAAAACGTAAGAAGAAACAGGCCAGGTTTTATTACATGATGGGTGATATAAGCATTCAAAATTCATAATTTTCTGTGATAAGATTTAAACTTTGATGCCATGTACTTTAATTTTTAAATAATCCTTTCACCACCAATTTCTTATTGCCTACCAAAGAAGTTATTTTTAATTAATAAATGAGGATTCAATATGATTGTACTATCCCTTCTGAAATAGTTTACATTTCTAAAATAACAAATTACATCCTCCGGTAATCTTTTGAGTCTGCTGCAACTTGTGTGGATTTTTTTTGTTCTTGCCACATTCTGATGTCATGTAATTATGATTTTTTACTGAACAGATGCATGACAACACAGGAACTATTTGCTACTTTGAGTTAAGATAAATTTAGATATTGATTCCACAATTATATTGAAATATTGCTTCAAAGATGGTATATTTTCTTGTTTTAAGTTATCTGCACCAAGGAAAATAGCCCCAGAGGAATATTTTGTTCTTGGAGATGGAGAAGAAGCACATTGGGAGGTAAGGGAGCTCTTTTCTTTAAGCCTGTTTCCCACATTGTTACTGATAATTGCCAGCTCACTTGGCTCATTCAAATGTACAGTTGTGGATGGTTTCTTGAGTTATTTTCACTGAACTTCATTTTTAATTTAGTCAAACTGTTCTTCTTCATACATGTCACAATGAAGTATTTTTAAGACTCCATTTTTTTGTATTGTTGAGATTCAAAGGTTGGTGTCGATCAACCGAAACTCTGCTCTGTGTAACTGTAGGACGCCTGCACTTGATAATTAAGTTTTATGTATTCTTCATGTTTGTGCTGAATTTTATGTTTTAAGTTCTCCAAAAGTGTGGTAGTTATAATAAGGTTACTGATAAAAAAGATATATATTTAGTTTGATTAAATTGCATAAAAACCTTTAAAAGTTGTCTTGAGTAGGATTCCAAGGAAAAAAATCACAATCACAGTCTTCGGCATTGATTTGAAGCTCCAACCTTCCAATTTTGAAGCAGGATGCCTCACTAACTGAGCCAAAAAAATGTCTTTTCTTTGCCTTGGCCTTGTGGAATAAAGTTTAACATCTACCTTAATTTGACAACCAAGGTCAAAATTTACCATCTCTCTAAATTTACTTGCAAGGGTAAACTTTCCCAGCAGAATGCACTAAGCCTGGCTAGCTCACCAGTGACTTGTTAGATTTTTCTTTTCCTAAACTCATGACAAAAACACCTTCTGAGAAAGAAATAATTTGCGTTCCATTATTCTTACTATCATAACTTTTTTTTGAGTCTCATAAAATAGGTCATTCTATGGCAATATTCAGCACATGCTCTTTTTTCTGGGCAATTGCATGTGCAACAATTCTTACAAAAGGATTTACAGTTTAATGAAATCAATTCAAGTGAAGTATTATGATATCATATTAATGGTGTATGGTTATAAATTTCAGGTTGTAGAGAGAATATTATATGTCTATGCAAAACTTAATCCTGGGTTGGGTTATGTTCAGGTGAGAAAATGTTTCACAACATTTGACACTATATTAATTAAAACATAATGATAACACATGCTTCTTTCTGATAATGATTAGAGAAGTAAAAATATCCCAGTGTTTACGGTGTTCAATGTAAGCCTCTGAACTCATTGACAACTTCTACTATAAGTAATCTTTGACCAATTACAGTCTAGTAGTTGGCTATTTACAACAGAGTTTTCATAAAGAAATATGGTATAAGGAGGAAAGAATGAAGTAAGAGCAGAATATTCTTCATGCCTGAGTAAGAAAGAGTTCAGGTCATTGAAATTAGGCTAGAGAATTAATTAACTCCCAATGTACAATGAGGACCTGTTCTTTTATTAAGTAACGTTTATTTGCTGTTGTGGATTATGCTTTTTCCCAGGGTATGAATGAAATAATTGGACCACTGTACTATGTTTTCTGTTCTGATCCCAACCCAGAATGGCAAGGTTTGTCAATAATTGACTTTTGACTTTCAATCTTTTGGCAACCTTCTTTTCTTTATACTAGATACACCACATACAAAAATTAATGGCACTAGTTGATTGAAAATAAATGGTCAAAGTGATTTATTAGTTTATGTCATCATAGTCATGTGTTACTGACTGTACCAGTAAATCATGATTAAGCCGTTGACTGTTGTTAATAGATTATTTGTCTCTGCATTTTCATTTTACAGAAAATGTTGAAGCAGATGCATTCTTCTGCTTTACGAATCTGATGTCAGAGATTCGAGATAACTTTATCAAGACTCTGGATGATTCAGCTTGTGGTATAGGTGAGTTTAGTAGCCTGTTACATGTTGGCAACAAGCATTTATCCATACTGAAATAGTATTTTCAGAGATTTTTTCCCATTTATCTCCATTTTATCTTAAATTGAGAAAGTGTATATTCCTGCCATCTTTCAGGAAACTTGATGAAAAGTGTTCGAAGCATGTTGAAAGAGAGAGACATCATATTGTACAGATACCTGGTAATTATAACTTAATAAATTTGTCCACTGATCACAGGAGTTAGTTCTTTAACATAAAAAATGAAATAGGGGATATTTTAGTTATGTTAAAACTAGCACCTTTCTTTGTTACAAAATATGTTTTGCTGTTTCTATGCTTCAAAGTATAGGATATTCAAGCATAGACCTTCAAACACACCTCTTTTTTAAACTCACAATGCAGTGAAACAGCTTTTGTAGGAAATGTCATTTCTTTGTGTTTTCAGCCATTACTTACTTCCTCCAAGTGTTGTGATTTCAAGAACAAATTCTTTATGATAACTTGAAATTTACTCTCACTCAGAAGTTGGCAGACTGGGATGTGGGTCTGCTGAACTAAGGGTGGCCCTACCAAGATCATAATGAATGACAGGACTGTATTTAGGAGTGAAATGTTAAACTGCCTCAACTTTTCCTCCTCTTTGTTCTGAGAATATTTTCTATACAGTGAAACTTCTTGACATGTTTTCTTTGCATCTTGCTATTTAGTTCAACTAGAATTGTAATGCTTAATTACAACAGTTAGCAAATAAAAGTGAACAATGTAATATAAAACCATGCTAGATTATAAATGAAACTCAAATCCCTCGTGAAACTTTCTAGAGGTAGTACAGACTTAACGTAGCACAATAGAGATGTCTGCTGAAGACAGGTTCATTTACAATGAAAGTGGGAGGAAAATTTGGAAATGATCTACTTCCACCATGATTAGGGGTTTCCATGTTCTATAAGGCACTGTTAGTGAAGGTTTAAGTGATTTTTATGAAGTATACATCTATTGCAGGAAGAGCAACAGATGAGGCCACAGTTTTACAGTTTCAGGTGGTTAACATTGCTGTTATCTCAGGAATTTGCCCTCCCAGGTACAAGAAATAAAATCTAACAAATTTTTGCTTCTAGGAACTTTCCCTCCTGGAGACCTCCCTAAGTGTCTTCAAGTAAACTCTATATGTGGGTTGTGAATTTTGGGGATTTTTGGTGGTTATATATTGAACAAGACTTGTGCAACATGACAGAACTAGTCATTCACATAAAGGAAGTGTAACCTTTGACATTCAAGTTAGAAAAAATAGTCTGAAACCTCAACATTTATTGTCTTTCACTTAACTTGTTTACAGGTTATGCTGAAATGTGCCAATATATGCTGATTATCAATTGAAATTAAGTTACTTTGTTTAACTGCATTACAGATGTCATCAGGGTGTGGGATTCTCTTTTTGCTGACGAGAAACGTTTTGATTTCCTGATTTATGTGTGCTGTGCAATGCACATGTGAGTAAATTAAGTAAACAATGTTAATTCTTACAGATGATGTTACTATAACTTTTGTAAATTGTGTGCATTATCTTGAGTGCATTTTAAAAGAAGTGAGTAGGACTAACATGAGTGTATACTTTTTTTAGGGTGATAAGGGATCAACTTCTGGCTGGTGATTTTGCTACAACTATGAAACTTCTGCAGGTATTAAAAAACACTAATAAATAAATAACCAAAAAAATATAAATTCCACTGTTCTTGTCTTTTAACCAACCGTCAAAGCTAACCACCAGATTAATTCTGATATTGCAGTGTTCATTAGATAGCACTGTGTCTCCTGGTAGAAGTTCTCTGTTATCAACTTTTGGTGGTGTTAATTACTAATTGTCCAGAGTCTAACAGTTTGACTCACAGTTGAATCACCATGACAACCTTTATGCTAGTGGTTAAATTTCACTTTGCAGTAATTTAAACTTTTTTTTTTACTTGTTTTAAGAATTATCCAGATATTGACATTCACACAATACTCTCCAAAGCAATGGATCTCAAACGTCCAAGAGTTACGCCACCCAGTCCTTCACAAACACAGCAAAGACAGAAGGGTGGATTTCAGTTTAAGAAGAGATGACAACTGTTTCTTCTGAATATGTCAGTCAAGTGTTGGAAGAAATTAGCATTTAATAATTAATTTGTGATTTTTTAAGATGTTGAAATACAGTCCATCAGTGGGTTTTTTTCAAGGGTTTCCTACAGTTGTCAAATCAGTGGAATCAATTACCTTGTTGATAATTTTGTGGGTTTTTAATTTTGCAAATTTTGCAACTGAAAAAAAATCACAAAATTTAAAACTGGCAAACCAAAATGATCCCGAAATTTAATTTAAACCCGCAAATTTTAATCTCACATATAGACTTCAAATTACAGATAAAAATGATCAGCATGTAATATAAGAAAAAAACATATAGGATAGCTATCAACAAATACACAAGTTATTAAGTTAGTTCTATTTGTATATTCTGTCGTGAAGTGACATTAATTTGCAAAGATTTTGCATATAAAGAAGAAAATGTAGCCATCATTTTCATCTGAATGGCTAGATTCTTACAAATTCCTTAGAGTATGTTTTATGCAGTCATCAAAAGTTGACATTTTGAAAAATTAAGAGGAGTTGAGAACCCTTGAGTCACAAAATCTAATGCCTTTTTTGTATTTGCCCATTTAAATCCCACAAAAAAAAAACCCTGCACCAAAATGCCAAAATTAGGTTGCAGTTAGGTACGTGGAATGTACAATCAATCAATCAATCAGAGAATGTTGTTGTGAATATGCCTTTTATATGAGAACAGCTTGGGGAGGGTGAAGGGTGGGCATGTGGCATGATGATCTACACCTTTTGAATTCACTGTGGGGAATATGTAGTTACTTACTTTAATATGTTCTTACATATTTTTCAGAGATCTTGGGCCACTAAGGTTGACATAAGTAGTCCTTGAACTGGCTTCAACTCTGTTTTACACTCAAGCAAAAATGATATTCTAAGTACATGTTAAATCTGTTAAAGATGGTGGGGTGGGGTGAGGGAGGTTGTTGGTACCTTGGATGTGATAACATTTCTTTGAAGGAAAGTAAAAGTTATCTTGTCATTAACTTCATGCTAGGGAACCTATCCTTTCAAGCATTTTATTTTGATCCCTTTTGTTTTTGTTTTTATTTGTTATTTTCTAAAATAGGGTTGTTTTGGTGAGATTATCATGTATGATGCAGTTGAGTATCAGTCTAATACTTTTCAATATGATTTTAACAACAGGATTATGATGATCATAATTGTCCAGAATTGATTAGTACAATTTGTAATCAAATCTTAGTATTTTGGTACAACAATACTAATATTATGACATTCCATCGCATAGAATTATTTAAATGTGTTGTTGGTAGAAAGGATTTGGACTTTTCCAAGCACATTACAAATTAAAAAATGTTATTTTGTTGTAAATCACTCTGCTTGTGATCAGGATTGTTCCATGGATCCTTGATGTCCCTCTAATTCTAATGCCAACATCCTTATCAGTCACAAGAACTTTCATTCTTCACCTGATCCTTCAATATTGTCTAAATATGAAAGAACACTTTAACCCTTTCAACCACAAGGTGTCATCAGTAATTCTCCTTACTGTCTGACATACAATTCTTATTAAGTCAGTTCCGAGAATTTGGTATTGGATCAACTAATTATTTCCTAATTCACATTTTTCCGTATTCCCGTCACTTAATAATGTATCAACATTGTAAGGAAAACTTCTTCTTTGGTCATTCATGGAAGTTAAAGTGTTCAGGTGGTAGTTACTACACTACATTCTGTACAGTTCGATTGTTCAATGAAACAATTCAACAAAAATATTATCATGATAATTTGTGAGAAAGAGATTAATTTTTTTTAAACACAAAACGTGACCGTATTTATCCTGGTAGACATACCTAGTTCTTAAGCTCTTACTACACACTTAACTCGTTTTAAAATAAAAAGGACAAAACCAGAAAAACGTAAAACGTCAAAGGGCATTACAAATCTGGGCTTGGAAATGAGTCGCAAATTCGACGAATCAAGCATACGCGGTTTCCTTTTGATTATACATTAGAAGGCCAGTGGCCTGCATAGGTCAAACGGAAGACAAGATGTGCTACTGTTACACCCCAAGTGAATATATGCAAAACTATCACCACAATCATTTAAAGCAAAGCAAATTAAACAAATCGATGGATCACATGAAAAAGGTTAACCCTATAATTTGAGGCATTTTGTATGCAGATGAATAAAGGAGTAAGTTTCTAAAGAAACTGTGGTGCTGCGTCGGTGGGAGAGTATAGCAGGTAATTTAGTGTTAACAACTGGGTTGAAAACGTAAATTAGCCACCGTAAAGGGTAAAAAAGCTTACGTTTCGAGCGTTAGCCCTTCGTCTGACGAAAGGCTAACGCTCGAAACGTCAGCTTTTTTACCCTTTACGGTGGCTAATTTACGTTTTCAACCCAGTTGTTAACACTAAATTACCATTTTGTATGCAGGTTGACTCGTAAGCCTGCTTGAATATGCGGTGCTTTTTTTCTCCTCGTTGTCTTTTTATCTTTCACTGTTTTGTGTGGTTTTCTCTTTTCCATAAGTTGTAAAACTGTTCGTCGGACTCTTCTTGTGATCGCACCTGCTACTCCCCTACATTTGTGAACAGACAGAATTCAACCAACCGGACATTATCCCTGGGGCTTTTTCCACTTTTTATGGTCTCATGAAATAAGCTAAGATAAAAGAGTACCAGTTATTTTGCTTTGGAACAATTAATCAGACTAATCAAGAGTAATTAGCGTATATCCAATGCCTTTTTCCTCTACTTGTTTCTGGATAGCAACCGAGAAAATCTTCCGTTTCTGAATTGGCTATCAGACATATCTCCTTCTCACTCACGGAGTCTTCGAAAGAGTGACCAGTGGTACTGAACGGTGATATTATCTGGTCAGGGTGGCGTTGAAGTCCTTATCCTTGACCTCACGTCTTGTATCATCCTGCTCGGAACTTGCAATCAGTAGCTCATAGGATTGGTCTATTTCCTTCTTGGCCCGTGCTGTGTCTTGGTATTCAAAGGAGCCTTCCTCGTGCAACTCTTTCCTGATAACAAATGTCACACACAGTACGAAAAGAGAAAATACCGCCAGCATCATTGCTCTTTCGAAGCTTGTACTTGACAACATTCTTCTCGTAGAATATGATCTCGCTTTGCAAGATGAACCACCAAGTATCGACGACTCAAACAAGAGAATATTTTTTTTCTCCTCTTTATGTTCGGTGTTCGACTTCTGACACTGGGCTTACCGTAAGATGCTCTAGTCTGCTCAAATGTTACAGTTTTTCGAAAATGTGTCAAAACATTTAAGATAATCTCCTCAGAAGTGACAACTGATATTCCGTCGGTTGAGGGACTATGGAGTGATATTCATAATTTATAATGCTTTTAAAAAATAAAAATTTGTCGGGGTATCGGGCTGTTTATGGAGGCGTTTGAAGTCACATGCTTTGAATATTATGACAAACATAAAATGAACTAATTTCCGTCCGTACCTTTCTAATAATCGTTCTTCACTTAAAATGGGACTATAAAAAACCTAAATTTGTTTTTTTACCTCATTTGATCACCACAAATCACACTAACCTGAGAGTGCGAGTAATCATAAAAATTCTGGAGGTTTGTCATGTTTTGATTTTCCAACAGAGTTTATTCAACGCTTGGCCAATTGCATTTGGCAGTTAAATAAATTTACTATCCGCGCCAAGAGATTTCAACGGGTGACCATCAATGAAGATCTACTGCAGGTCACCCCAGTAAACAACAAAAGTGCTTCGGCGAAATATATTCGTTTTTTCACACTACAAGAACCATTACTAGTACCATTCAGATAAAGTTATAAGCAAAATTTTAGGAACACGAAGAGAACACGAGTTCCCCCTCTTAACTTTTCTTTTTCAATTAATTCACTATTTCCAAACTTGGTTATGGGCAACCCTGAGGAATTTTAAATCGGCGCCAAAGGTAACATTTCCCAGCGTTTGCTAAACGACACTGGTCACTTCTAACGTAAATACCTTTTACTGCCGTAAAGTTAGTTTTGAAATGATCTTAGGTTGGATCAAAGGTGTTAAAGTTTAACATAGTGACGAGTAATTTAACTTTCCTTTTTCTAAAGCAAATGAAATCCAATTAGAGCTTTCGAATGCGGAACAGACCCTTAGCCAAGCACAATTCGCCCAGACTCCGCCTACCAGTGTAGATGAAAGGCATATTTTAAATACTTTAACGCACTTCCACTCGTGAAGGCGACTATCCCTTACCGCAGGATTCTTACATCAGAAGAAGCAAACAGCAAAGTATGGCTGGTGAGAATCTTACTCAAGTTTTATGATGAACGGCCGAGTTTACCAAACTACCTTAACTTTGAATAGATTGGTTCAAGCCGACATAACGCTTACTTCTTAACCGTCTATTCATCACTTCACGGGTTTATTTAGAACCACCATCATGACCAGCTCCCACTTGGCTTGTTGGCTCAGTTGGTAGAGCGCTGCCCCGGTATCGCAGAGGTCATGGGTTCAAATCCCGTACAGGCCTGAATTTTTTTCAGGCCTTATTTTCACTACTGCCTAAGTAGTGCACATCACTGCGAGGATCACTTTCATTCACATAACGCTTACTACCGTTCTTTAGCAATTAGCTACCTGACATGTTCTCTCTCCAAGAGGAAGCAGGGGTGGACCGAACGAGAAAGCAGCACAAACCACACAGAAATAAAGATTTATTAAGAGGACCATCGACTGAAAAATCTTGTACAAACACTGACTATGTCAAACATACATTTGGACATTTTGAAGTTGAAGAACAAAAAGGACAACGTTAGACCGCTTTACCTTTAGATAAAATATACCAAGGTCCAGTTGATCAAAGGGCTGATAACGCTGTCCAGCGGATAAGTGTTAACAAAACTTATTTCGCTTTCCACCGAGTGGAGATTTACTCAGTGGATAGCGTAGTCCACCCTTCCAGCAATCGAGACCAGTACACTAACATCTTCATATCGAAACGCAATTCATAAACTACGAAGCCATAAAAGTTGGAGACGTACATCTCCTTCTTTGTTTGACCGTAAGTTACATAAACTTCGTTCAGCGTGAATGGTTGCAACGCTCTCTGACTGGTCTACAACAACAGGTTTCCCACAGTCAATCAATCAGGTGTAAAAATGCAATCTTAGCTGATATCATTAGTTTTCCCTTAAATTTTTACTCTCTCATTTGTTGTGTTGGCAATTGACTATACATTGTTTCGGGTTCCAACAAACCCGAATAAAAACTCTTCATGGCACGATGTTGTATCATAAATGGGGCAAGTGAGGGCAGTACTATGGGTGGTATGTTACACATCATACTTCATGTCAACAAAAGCCTCTGTTTGGCGAGATAATCTCCTACCAAATGGAGGCAAAATTTTTTGCAGCGCTTGGGACAAAGTACTTACAGGCAGCTCACTAGAAAAACTTTTACTGTAAACGACTCTGTGAAATAAGAAGTCTGTCTCTTCTTTGTGACAATAATAATAACAATAATAATAATAACAAAGACATAAAAAGTTACAATAATATGATAAAAATGACAGTTTTGGGTCTAGAATTTAATCTTAAGGTGTGAAATTGCGGAACATCACCGGATATTTCCGAGCCTTTAGAC